CTCTTTCTTTCTGCAGTTTAAATCATCACTTTTGATTTGTTTGGAACTAAATATCCATTGAAACCATTCAACACAAAGTTTTTGATTTCACTCAAAACGTGTACTTCTGTTCATGTTCAGCAGATAATATTTTTAATTAAAGTTAAATGTGATTTGCACAGGAGCTGCAGTGGGCGAGGTGCATTGTGGGTAGTCATGTTCTTTGTTATTTTGTTCTAATCTGGGTTGTTCATGCATGTTTATTTTGTTCAAAATGAAGCGGTGGTTCACACTTAAACCCTTGGATTCAGCTCGTTGTGTTTCACTGTAACTGCCTGTTTGCAGGTGTGTGATGCCATGGATTTCACATATGTTGTCCATGAATTTAAAGACATATTTTGATACCAAGAATTACTTACAAACGATGGCAAAACATTTTTTAGGTTTTGTGTGAAAAGACGTATAGGACTACAAATATTCGTCTCACTAAACTGACGTCAAACCAGACACCGATAAGCTTAGAAGATTAGTTTAGCGGGCTTTGAATTCTTCTTAGACAGAATGAGCATTCAATGTGGGGAAAACCACTATAAATCTGTCCATGTGGTAAATAGCAGCTATGCTGGGGGAGAGAGGTCCAGAGTCTGGAGGGTCACAGCAGCCAATGATCACCTTTGGTCTTTAGCCTGGAGCGCTTTGGTCACTGGACCTCAGGGACCTGCTAGGGGTGTAGGGACTGACAAGATCACCAACATATGATGGTGCTTGTCCATGTAAGGCCCTGAAAACCAGAACCAAGTTCTTGAAATTAACCCAGAAGTTAAATGGCAGCCAGTGAAGCTGTTGGAGAAGCGAGGTGATGAGGGATTTTAGGAAGACCTGGTCAGACGCTGAGCACAGGCGTTCTGAACCACCTGTAGCCGGTTCGGGGAGGTTTTGCTCAGATGAACGTATTTAAACGTCTAAAGATGAGCTTCTGAGAGCTGCACTAGATTTATAATTTGGTTTTTGAGATGTTTCACTAAACACACACACACACACACACACACACACACACACACACACACACACACACACACACACACACACACACACACACACACACACACACACACACACACACACACACACACACACACACACGCTGTGTGAGCAGTCCATTTAAGGAAAGCAAAGACAAACTAAAAGCCATTTTAACCACATGTGGCGTTATTCAAACACTCCTATCCAGATTCAACAAGAATCAAAAAGAGCAACCAGGATAAAAGAATGCAGTGAAAAAGCTGTCATGATGAATAAAACTTAAAACATTCAAAGTCATCGTGCTTGTCGAATCCCATAACACCTAACTAAATTCCACTTACTGCAGCACTGTGAGCACAGAAGCGCCTCAGAGAGGATGATCTGGGAGGCTGCTCCTAATGTGCTGACGGGCTCAGATCAGGATTTTTCACCGCATGAGCTCGTTTGTTTGCTTGCAGTAAAATATGAATTACCTACTGGCCCTTTTGTGTTCAAGCGCTAAGTTCCCCGCAGCGCTCGGAGATCTCGGTCATACATGTCTGGCTTCTCACAGCTTTACGCTGCCGTCTTGAAAATGTGGCCCGTGGTTCAGAGCTATGATAAACAGCCTGTTGTCTGCTGGAACAGTCTGCATTTGTTTTGGTCTTTTTTTGGAAACAACTGACCTAGCTCCTAAAAAAGATCTACAGTCCGCTTTGAAACAAATGTCTGGCGCCTTTCTGGAGCTCATGTTCTAATGTAGGTTTCCAGTTAGAGTGAAATAAGGCTTTTGGTGTCACTGGGCCTCCCGTGGGCTTGTGAATGAGGATGTCACTGTTAGCCTGAAAGATGCGTATCTGACACAGCTGGATGCCTCCACTCTAGCATGATGACTATTTTGACAGCTCAGTAATAGCCCAATGCTGACAGTCAAAGCATCCATCCACAAGTGAAAGCAATTCTATTCAGAATAAAACTCCTCTTTCACAGTAATTAGATTCTTGACTAAGATGATTTTGAATCCCTGGGAGCTCAGCTGAACTAGGAAAGAAACAATTAATCTGGGATGGGAAATGCAAGCCTTAATTGAAGCCTGATGGAGTGTTTTGCTCGGAAGAAGGGCATCTTCTCAAACATCAAGGGGTTCTTCATTTGCATCCGAGCTATTTGTTTGAGCTACTCAGTATAATTTGCAGAAACATGCAGACCTGTACCACTTCATGTACAACAGAAATGGGAATCTGAAGTTAAACCATAATCATTAAGGGCACTGTAATGTATCGCTGTTAGTTTAAATAAAAAAACAACAGGATTTAAACAAATTGTTCCAAAATTAGCAAATAAGCATGTATATCAGTATTTCCCCCACATGGGCTCAGGTGTGGCACTGCACCACGGCACTAGTGTTTAACACTGTTATATAAATACAGTTTTAATTGTGTTTTTAGCTAAATAAAAAAGAAAACTCTTGTTAGGTCAAGTTCCCTTGTTGCTAATCCTAAAACACCACTACGATTTATTTTCAACCACCAAAAAAAGTGTTTTTAGTAATTAACTATTGTGGGTTTGGAAATGTAAATCCCTCTTCTCTTTCTACCTCTCACCCTGCATATAAATAATCTCCAAAAAAACAACAAAAATAAGATAAGGAGGCTAAAATATTTTCTTCTAAACAGTTTACCAGAACCAAAGTGTAGTTCATAAATGTCACCACTGGAGGGAGTAAAATCATAGTCTCACTTTCTTTTCAAATTAATTGAACAGAACAAGAGTGTACTTCCAGCTGTTTGCCACTGAGTGCATCAATGCCACATCTCCTTTTCACTTTTCACGGTTTAAAACAACCAGAGTGCAGGGCCCTCCAGTGGTCACGAGCTAAAACTGCACCCTGGTTACACACACACACACACACACACACACACACACACACACACACACACACACACACACACACACACACACACACACACACACACACACACACACACACACACACACACACACCACCCCAAATAAGAAAACAATATCTCACTTTTGATTTTTAGCAAAAGTTGGCTGACCTGCATAAATTAAATCATACATTTCAATAACCATACACTTCTAGGAATATGAAAAATGAGGACTACTTTCTTTTCCACATGCATGATCTTAGTTCTCATCAGACTGACAGGCTAACGGTTAGTCTGTGCAGGGCCAAGAGTAAAATGGAATGTTGAAACAGCTCTGATGTCATATTTTATGAATGTCAACAAATTCATTTGCCAAAATTATTCTGATAGAAATGTTTAAAAAATCAGGACAGGAAGTGCTTCAAATATTCTTTTGCTATATTTCTATGTTCATAACAGTATAGCACAACACTGATAGTAAATGTTTTAAAACTGTTCATTTTTAGTGTTTTGACATTTTCTGAGATTGTTTTAGAATGTCAGTAATCCCCTTTGCAACTATCTCCATTTGGCCTAGCCATTAGCTTATCAATCTGGTCACAACTGATCTCTGGTTATTCAAAGAGCTACTATTTCTACAAGGAACTATAGTTATATCATAATCTTACCACTAAATCCCAGAGCTCTCTAATGTGCTGCCTGAGTTGTTGTCCCTGAATCAACTCTGAGGTTCAAAACCAAGGCCACCTATAAACCCTTTGCTCACATCATGTCATCTGTGTTTGACCTCTCCATAAATCACATCAGAAACATTAAATCCACCACCAACTGGGGATTTTAAAACACAGAAATTGACAGAGCTCCTGTTTTTGTCCTCACAGTAATCTGCGAAAACCTAATCCCATCTCATCGCACCAGGTTTATGTCTCCAGTATGCTGGCTCAGAAAACAACACTGTTACATCATATTTTAACATAAAAATGTTAAAAACTGGTCTTATTAATATGATGTTTAGCCAACTTCAAATGTGTTTATGTAAATGTTAATCTCATTTATTATTGATAGCCTCCTGAATGGCCTTTGTTCAGAGAACTAGCTTTTATATCTTATAAAGACTGATGTGCTAACAGCTAGTTTGAGCACAGACAAGAACAGATTAAAATAAAAATGTAATCTTTTACAATTCTGATTGTAACTGTCTCATCACAATTTGCTTGTGATGAGACAAGGTTGCTTGAATTTACCAGTTTGATGAGATTACCATTTTTATGTTCCAGTTTAGATTAAAAATTTACAAACATATTAAAAAATAGGATTTAAAATGGGGTGTAAAGGGAAATTCAACTAAAACACCAGTCAGGTCTGTGTTGGCTGAAGGGTTACACTGAGCATCTTATACATCTTTAATCCTTAGTCCCACTCAGTTTTTTAACCCAAGCTAAAGTTTAATCCCAACATATTTTAATTACCTGGACCCACAGGAACATTTCCAACCCACATGCTCCCTTTGGTTTTATGAAAACTAAACCTCATGTTCCTCCCATCTCCCAGCTAACTCATGCTCCTTCCTTCCAGTGCATACAAGCTCCTCTTCAGCCTCTTTCATCTCTGTTGTTGCCATGTGTAATTCTGTCATTTCAGGCATGTTCAGATGAATTATAGAAAAAGAAACAAACAGGGGGAAAAGCTTTACAAAGCATCCCCCCATTCCCTCCGTTGTAGCTGTGCGTCAGAGCTGCTTGAAAAAATTGTCACTTCAGTTCAAATTTAGTGCTCGTTCCTCTGTGCTCAAAGTGCTCTGCTGTGCATCATCAAAGAGATGCTGCCTTTGAAGAGCAGCCCAGTTGTTGTATGTGCATTTTTTTGTTTGTTGACATTCCTGATTTCTCTGCTTCACCATTTGCCAAATAAGCAGAATACAAATAGAGATTTAGTGTTTTTCTCCACCAGATTACTGCAACAGGTTTATATGTGACATGTATGATGGATTACCGGAGGGGGGAACTGCTGTTTTCTAATAGATAAGATTTTGTTTTAATGCTCGCTGAAAGCTACAGCCTCGGCGCGACATCATTTGAAGAAGTTGTGTAGAATAAACCCCCCGAACCAAGAAGACTACAAAAGAAGGTGTTAATCTGAAACAGAATCCTTTATTAAGAAATGGAGGAAAGTTTAAAGGATAAAAATAGACATACATGCAACAGCAGATGCTTGCTATATGTTTAAATTATATTAAATATCAAATATCAAATAAATGTAATATTATATTAAATTATATATTTGTGAAGCGCCTCGTGATTTTTATCTTGAGAGGCATGCGACGAGGGTCAGATGCGTGTGTCTAACGCTCAGTGCGTGAGAGTTGGCAGCCCTGTTTTAGATGGCTCATGTTAGCATGTTGTTAGCGATAGCTACAGCAGAGTTGTTTACGGCAGTTGTAATTCCACTTTCAACCAGTAGGGCGGGGAACAGGAGACTGCTCGGTGTCACTTTAAGACAAACATTCTAGACCCTTTTATGTCTAATATAAAGAAAAAAATGACATAATTAATTGAAACATTACATCTTCAATGTATTAGTGAGCAAGTGAATAAATAATTCAGTCGCCATGCGATCGTATACATTTGTGCTTCACCATTGTTTTAATATTACGCTCTTATTTTAGAAGAGTAATCAGAAAACACCTGCTGAGCTGGCTGTTCTATTTTTCACTGCTGCTGCCTGTAAATGAGCACGTAAAGTGAAACTGAACTAAGGCAAAGGCTTGAAGAATAATGTAGCAGACAGCCATGACGTTTAGGAGATAGGAGCTGTTTAAGTCCAGTAGGACATGAACATTATTTCTCCAAACACAGGCTGTTCAGAAGGTTATCTACAGAAGGTGAGATAATTATTTATAACTTTTACACAAACTACAACATGACAAATAAATCAGTTTAAACTCCAGCTGGTGCATCTCCGTCCAATCATTTCTGGAGCAGCTGTGAATTTGACTCTGTTCTCTCTGCAGTCCACGAGTCGCTCTCACCTCAGGAGCTTTAATCCACACTAAACTCTTTATGTGAAAAGTGAACCACGTTCATTCTAGTCCCAAAAGAAATATACCTCTTAGAGTCATGCCAGGGTACAAAAAAGAAGTTATTAGCTGATTTCTTGGACTGATAATAGCTCCACAGCAGGGATAATAAACCAGGGGTGAAAGTTTTATATCGACTACCTGGACGCGAGACAGAAAAGAAGAATTGGTACAGCAGATTGCTCTTTTTGTTCGGGATACACAGCAGACAGTTTAGAAAGAAACATGCGATTCCCCTTTTTGTTTCTTCCTTACAGCATCACCACCCGATAACATCTCACAGCTCCGTTCTTGGTAAGAGGTTTTGTTTGTTTCAAAATGGCCTTCTTTCTATTTAAAGAAAAAGAACCAAACAGAAAAGAAAACTTTGCTCAGCATCAACCTTGAGGCATCCACCCTGTTCTTTCATCGCTTATCACTGACTCTATGAATGCTACCTGCTTTAAAGTCTCAATTTTAGGCTGGTCCTTTATGGAGGATGGGAAAACAGATGACACGGTGCTGTGAATGTAGGCTGCTGTGGGCCTTTTACACGATCTGCAATGACACGGAGTCAGGAGGAGGTACAAAAGGATGAGAAGCAAAGTCACTGTGGAGGCTAGCAGTGTTGTGTAACCGGTGTTGAATGGCTCTGCCAAAGGCGACAGCACGGTCACATTCACCTCCCGAGTGGCATTCAGAGCCTGTCTAGCGTCCACAGCTGTGCACAGATACAGACCTGAGTCATTGACTGTGGCGGCGTGGACCTCTAAGGTGCCATTAAAAAACATGCTAATTAGAGAGTCATTAAAGCCGTTTGGAGTGATGAAGCCCCTGTTCGGGGAGAGCCACGTAAATGAGAGATCTGCGCCACTCAGAGATGTTTGGCAGTCCAAATGCACTCTGCCCCCCTCCGAAACCTCCACATCAGAGAGGAGGACTGTCACGGGCTGCATGATCGCTTTCTCCACACTGCAGTTGTGGAAAAAGCGGTTGTAACGGAGGAAACGGATGGATGCTCGTGGGTCCCCATTAATGTTGCAGGTGTGCTCATCGATGAAGTCCTTCACCGAGTTGTAATCCCTCAGACTCCAGTGCCAAAACATGCTGTACATGGAGCAGTCACACACAAGGGAGTTGTTGTGGAGATACAACCCCCGCTGCACGAGCCGGGGCAACGCCTTCACGTCCTCCCATGGAGGACGGGTCATTCGGTTGGAGGAGAGGTCGAGCATAGCCAGGAACGGGTGGCTGTGGTCTTTGATAGAGAAAAATGGGAAGTGTGTGATCTGGTTCAGGCTGAAGTAGACCTTTTTCAAGCTACTCAGACCACTCAGCATGCTGGCCTCTAGTTGTGTGATCTTATTATTGAAGAGACGGAGCTCCTCCAGCCTCCACAGCCCCTGGAAGTAATGCTGCTCCACCACATGAAGCTGGTTGGAGGAGAGGTCAAGCAGCCTGAGCCCAGAGATGTTGCCAAACGCACCATGTCTCAGGGTTCGGATCTGGTTGCGGGCCATCCAGAGGTTTTCCAGTCTTGGCATCATGCTGAAGCCGTCTGAACCCAGCCAGGAT